TTGGAAAATGGTTCATCTTTTCACCTTCTTGCTTTGTGAAATGTCTTTTCTATCTGGGGCCATAAATAATGGCAACTCATTGACTTTTATCAAAAAACAGCTCAAACAAACTTTCTCTCAACTTAACTACTGACTTTAATTTACTAATTTTGGAGTAACTTTAATAAGGCTTTAATTTTTCCTAAAAAATTTGGCCAAGCTTGTACTAAAACTCTGATTTGGCTTACCCAATAAAAATTTATCCCAAGAAGTCATGTCTCACAGGATGGTGGGGCTGGAAATTAATATTCCTCTATAGGCAGATGACTCTTCAGATGACCCTTTGAAATTTGCAAGTGTACAGCGTATTCCAGGTGTAGAGAGGACAAACCCCATCATCACCTGATGTTTCTTCATATACACAAAATGAATGTAGTGATGCACTATCTCTAATTGCTTTTGTAAAACCTCTTGAGGTCTACTGATGGAAAGAAGATATTCCTGCTTTCTATGGAAACAACTCAAAGGTACCAAAATGTTTGAAAAATGCACTGCATCATACTCCTGTTGTGAAATGTGGGGGGAAAATTAAGCCACTCTTAAAATGGTTGATTCTGGGTTTGGATTCATGTGTATCGCAGAGGAAAATGAACTGCTGATGTTCCACAAGTGAACATCTGAAATTTTAATCCAGTGTGGCACAGACTAAGGCTGTAGGCTTCATTGCTGTGATCTTTTCTTTTTCTTTTTTTAAATACTGCATGCAGCACAGGAGTCTGTTCTTTGCCCTTTGTGGGACTTGGAGACTTTCCACAGTTTAATATGAAAAAGGGCTGTTGCTGAAGGAGTGTAGTCATCCAGTTTGCTTTGAAGATGTGGCAGCAGAGTGTGTGTTTGTCTCCTTCAAGGGTGTGTCCCACAGCTGCCGGATGCCTTCACTTTCATGGATTTCCCCTTGCAACAGTTTGTGATTATACACACCCAATTAACACCATCTCTGACACATACCCTGCAGGCAGCACAGACAGCATCAAAAGGGATCACAGTGAGGCACTTGGTACCAGGATTCAGAGGTTGGCTGTTCTCTGGTGCTTATTTGGAGCAGGGAGGCCAGATAAAGTGTACGGTCACATCCAAGTGTTTTTCTTTTTCTAAATGTAAATATGTCCTTAAAATAAATGTAATTTTCTTTTGGACCACAACATCATTGCATCTGTGTATGATTTCACTGAGGGAAGAACTAAGGTTGCCTGAAGTATCTTGTTTATATTTCCATGGCTAGTGAAATAGCTTCATTTTATAAGTAACTTGCGCTGCAGCCTTCTTGTGGGATTATTTCTGTCTGACTGTAATGTTTTGATGTTTAAGTTTCTAATAGGTTTTTACTTCATTTACACAAATGCTTTGTTCTTGGTAAAGAGTCACAATACTCCACAAAACCCAAAGTCTCCATTACAGTGCAGTACAGTAAATTGTCAATAGAGCTTCATTATTGGCATAATTCCAAAGTTTTATTAAAATGTGTTTTTTTGTTGTTTGAACAGTCCAGTCAGATTAGAGTACAGATAAGATGTGAGTACATGCAGTTAGTGTCACCAAATCTCTTTTTCTGATTCAAGGGCCGAATGATGAGAAGGCAGAATCTGGGGAAGCAAGGAATATTTTTTTTTAAATGTGTCACTGGAGAGGATAAAAAAGTAAAAGCTATGGGCATGCCAAAGTTTTTTGCAAAAGGAAAGGATTAGGATAACACACAAAAATCGGTTTTTCAATTTACTTGGTAAATCATCCCATAATAGCCCTTTAACACATCTGTAGCAATAATAAATGTGAAAAATGTAATTAAGTGCAAGAAGTAAACAACTTTTGCTAAAAATACAGACCCAAAGTTGAAGCTTGGCCATGGGCCATCAGCAGGTCACCATCAGAGCCAGCCCCCAGAAAATGGACATCTTTTACTTCTATGTCCTTGCTCAGAACTGCCCTTTCATTAGGAAATAAAAGGAGGCTTTATTTCTATTCACTAGGCTTGGCAGCTGTGGATATAGCTTTCTTTACACTCACTTTTGATTTAATATTAATTAATTTAGTTAATACAAATAATTAGAAATTGTAATTGATTAATAAAACTGCTGCAATCTGACAGTGGCTCCTCAGCTAAGCCTAGGGTTTGACCCAAGCAGCTGTCACCAGGATTAAACACTCAATGAAAATAAAAATTACACCAGCAATTCGGTATGTAATTAATCAGCAGATTCTTTGCGTACCACATGGCATGCTACTTCCTCAGTGGACACCCATGCTGAACACTGTGCAAATAGTGCTGATCCCAGCCAAAGCTCAGATGTTTCACTGTGGAGCATGCCTGGATGTCCATGGCCATTTCAATGCCAAGGGTTAATAGTTGGTGTTGCTCACATGCATGTAGGAGCTAAGTTCTGTGCTCTCAAAGAGCATGGCTGCCCTCCTGCAGACTGGCAACACTGCCCTCCCTTCCCTAATCCCTCAGACTATGCCTAGGCTTTGCCAGGGTCTCTGCTAGCCTTACCATGAACATGTTAGCTATTAAAAGCTTGGGTGATTGATGGTGAGCCTGGAGTTTTCCTGATCTTGCATCTTTTTCTGATGTGAGCATTTGAGGTAGCTGTAGGTTCATTGACTCAGTGCAAGACATGACATCTCTCTCTGAGTAATGGTAAAAAAAAACCCAAAACCCAAAACAAAAGGTATGCTCTAAAAAGCAGAGGAAGTACCTCAGATTTAAGTTTTTATAAGTTCTTAGTCAAAGAAGTTGCTGAACATATAGCCAAGCTGATACTGGCAAGCATCCCTAAACACCATGGACATCAATAACAACTAAATCTGAGTGGAGAGCAGTGAAATGTGTTTCATAAAGGGGGCTGGCACAGAAACAAAAACATGATAAAATGGTACCTTGACAATCAACTATTTATGGAGATTATATACAGACTTTCTTTGTGATAATGATTTGTTTCAGTAGCAAGCATCCACTTCACTGTACGAATGAGACAGGCACCTCTTAAATTGCATGGGGTATATGGAGCAGTGCCTGCTGCTGAGATTATAGGAAGAGATCACAAAGAGATGTTGTGGCCAGAGGAAACAGTGTGAAGTTATTTAGTGTGTCACATAAAAAGGTGACCCTTTGTGCTTATACAAGGTCTTTTATCAGCTGACAACATCAAACCACCCCAAGGATGTTGTGCTAATCTGTTCCTTGCCTATCAGCTGTGATATGCATACAGCAACATCTGTTACTGGAAAAGATGTAAAGGGACCTACCACAGGACTAAAGTGAAATAAAATTACATTGTTCTTAGAAAGTAAAGTTATTGCAAGTGAAAACAACTGGTCTGTAAGTATGAGCATATTATATATTTGATCCAAAGCAATTCTGTTTATTCACAGTCCATATATATCAGTAAACCAAGGACAGGTAACCTTTATACATTAGCACTTGTGTTACTTATTTGTCGCAGTGATTTTTTAGGTAAATTCATATTGAGGGTCCACTACGAGTAAATTTATTAAAACTCATGAAAATGTCAAGCAGAACTGTCTTGTCACTGAAGCAGCTGGTGACTTGGGCATAGGGAAATATTCCTCTTTCAGGGGCACTGTTGGACTTACAGAAACAGGCTTGTCTGTGTTCAAGGAATCACTAATCCTTTCTCCTAGTTTTGAATAAAGGGTTCTCAATTACTCTAGAGCAACGTAAGGGCATTAGGGCTCCTGATTACTTTGTCTGAGGTTTTTGCACCATTTCCAAGGTATTACCTCTTCTGCTGTGAAAAAGTTTCTGGGAAACTAAGTCTATATCTATCCTTTTCCTATAGACAATTCATATTATAGTGCACAGAAAGAGCAACTAACATGAAGAGCACATTTTTCATTTCAGCACTTCATCTTTGCAAGAGGATTTGTACCTTTGTCCTCTCAGAAACAGGAAAGCCCCCGAACATGCATGGAATAGGGGGGCCTTGACCATGGACACCCAAGGGTCATGCACAGAGCACTTTCAGTGGAAAGCAGATAAACTGAGGGGGTGATTTTCAGAGTATGCCTTCCCTATACCTTGTCCCTGCCTTTTAATGATTCTGCTGAGAGCAGTAGAAACTCAGCATTTCTGAATTCACATTCCTACACATGCAGAACCATCTAAACATTTTGCATATGGAGAAACCACCAACTGCAAATCTCTTGGCTCTTTCCAGTTATATTTTAGGTCTGTGCCAAATAGGCGCATGTTCTGAACGAGCTAACTTGAAATATAGTGGTGACATCCACAGTAGCAGTTTCACATAGGGTCATGCTAGCAGCTTTGCTCCCTGTCATTGTGGTACTTCCACATAAGAAGAGACTGGATGGTATGAACCATGCTTGAGGGATTTCCTAGCATGAAACTGCTCAGTTATGCTGCATCAGCCCTGTTCCTTTGGAGCGTCTTAAAGTCTGGCACTTAGTAGTGATGCTGCTGAGAAAACAGACATACAGCTATTTTCACGCCTTCAGAGCAGGAAGAGTCTGGAGGTAACCTGAAGAGAAGGCATCATCTCTTGCATGGAGGGACATGTGCTCATTGCCTATAGAATTCATACACTTAACACTACTATCATGATTGTTGGTAAAATTATTAAATTATTACTTTCTAGGAATAAAAGGTTTTTATCTTATGTCGACACAAAATCATTGCAAAAATGGAGTTTGCCTTCCCCCATTATGGTCTCAGTCCTCTCTACCTTGACATTTCTTGGGTCTTCTCAACTCCCTGTTTCTGTGTGGTTCCCTGGTGCTCTGGAGGCTTCTCTGCATTAAAGTAGCTCACCAAAAAAGAGAGCCCTGGAGATGTAACCTCAGGAATGCCTTTAACTTTCTTTCTATTTAACACAAGTTGCTGTGGCATTGAATGCCGTGTGACTGGAAAGTAGACAGCTCCAACCCTCAGGCAGATACCTACCAAAACATTCCTTTCTTATTTGTTTTGGGGTTTTGTTCTGCAGGTCCTGTGTGACAGACATGTGTGAGTGTCCGATCCATAAAAACTGCTACTGTGAGTCATTCCTGGCATACACCCGAGCCTGTCAGAGGGAAGGGCTGAAAGTCCACTGGGTGCCGGAGCAGAACTGTGCAGGTAAGCATTTTGGGACTGCTTCTTTGCATAGGCTAATAGGCTGTGATCATCCTATCCTTTTACTGGTGGAGTAGGATCAAAAATGATACAGGAATTGTAGCAGCTTGGAAGTTGTTGGAAGTTTTTCTTTCAGAATATGTAAACTGTTGATTACAGAAAAACTTTGACCTCCTGTCAAAACATAGTTATATTTCTGGGGACAACATGTACATATAATTGCAGTAGGTTTGACAAGGAAAGAGAAGCAAATGTATTTAGTGCAAATATTAAAATGTAAACCTGCATTAATAATTCCATTTGGTCCATACTTTATGATTTGGACTGCATTAATTGCAAATAATTGTGAGTAATTGCCTCCATGAGAAGCAGTGGCCTGCGGCTATGGGCACTTGAACAAAAATGCAATATTGCAGGTGAGTATTTCCCCTGATGATGGTGTCATTAGTTTAGGACACTCTATAATGGCATTGGTTTGCCTAGAAACGTATTCAGATTTATGTAAAGCAATTAACAGTAGTTGAAAAAAACCAAAAAACAATGAGAGGAGGATACTCAGTGCTGGTCTATGAGCTATTACTCTGTGGTCCATTTTGGTGATTGCGTGTGGTTCAGGGTCTCTCTGAACGTCAATTTCCTTTTCTGTTGAAGGCATTTTAGCAGGGATGGGTGAGTGACAGAGCAAATTATGTTTGATTGACTGTTCCCAAAAGGTTCATTTTTTTTCCTTACAAAGCAACAGGACAATCCAAACAGGGTCTCACTAAGTGAAAACCCTATTCAAGGATGTGGTTTTGAACAGCACTAGTAATATATATAATTTTAATCTGTCTATCTGGTAGCTGATCCATGCAGAACCTAAAGCAAGCATCTAGATTTTTTTTATAAAGCACTTCAGACTGAGACCTCACTATGGCAAATGCTGTGAAAAGAATAAAAACTCCTTGCTAGCAGCCCCTGCCTTAAGGAGTTTATACAAGTGTTGACATATCACGACTTAACTAATTGACGCTTAATTTCACAATTTTTTTTCTGGCATCTTACCAAAGAGAAGAAAATTTTCTGAGGCAAAACCAGTCCTTGAGAGAACATTATGAAGGAATTTAAACACACAGCCTCCATTAAAGCTAATGAAAGACATTTTTAAATCAACATGAATTTTTTAATCTCTTCTAGAGGGAAAGGGGAAATCTTGTTAAGTGGAAAATGTAAATAAGCTGTATAAGGCTAAGTACCCTCAAAACACTTATTTAAGTATCCAATGTTAGATAAGTAGCACCATCTTCTAAGTAAATAATACAGTAAGCATTAAATTAAAGTGCATCCACTGCTTTCCATATGGTACCAGTGGCCAGCATCAAGATTTTAATCTTTAACAGGCTTTTTTTTCCTCTCCAAAACAAGTAGTTGCAATTATTGTGTCTCAATTACAGATAAAAGTTCATATGTGGGAAACAAAATTTCTGTAATAAAACTTTAGCATTCTATGACTTTCATTTCCTGCTTGACATTTCATAACTGGTGGGATACTTGCAAGAGTTGTGTTCTGATGAAAATGGAGTATACTTATTAGTAAGTCAGGTTTTAATTATACTTTTGTGTGTTTTTAAACCAGATCTTTTGTGGTTGCCAGTTGCTCTACCCTAACTGCTGTAAACTTAGCTCATCTTTATAATCTTCAGGAAACTTGTGTTGTCTGGAGGGCCAGCCAAATAGGATGCTCAGGAGGCTGAATTGCATGTCCTGTTCCCTATGTGCTGTTCTCTCCCCCCAGTGCAATAGCTTGTGCTCCTCTACATTACTCTGCAGAACATTGCTGCTCAAGGTTTGCTGTCCTATGAGGCTGGCTCATTAAAGGGAATGTCAGCTGTCATTTAACTGGAGGAGTGAAAAGTGGAAAATAATGAGTAAGCAAAATGGTTAGGGTAGGAAAAGGTGGTGAACATGGGAACTGAGAGGGTTAGGAAAAGGATAAGGGTTGCCACAGAAGGTAGTAGGGAGTTAGATCTGTTAGGATGGGCATAGGAAAAAAATATAGTTCTTGAAGGAGAAATTAAAAAACCAGGACAGCCAGTATGAGGGAAAGAAGAAATAAGAAAAAGTGATACATGGAAGAGGAAAAATAAAGGATAGAAATGGAAGGAAGCAGTTTGAAAAGGAAAGGAGAAAGAAAAAAAATTTTTCTTTTACCCAAGAAAGGCTAGACAAGAAGTATATAAAGTACAATTAAGTAAACTGAAGTGGTAAAAGGCCTTGGGATATAGTAATTTAATGCTGCATTTCTCAGGATACCAAGAGAAAGAAGGCTCAAGGATGGCAGAAAGCAATAACTCCCTGCCATGGGCATGACTACACATGCAAGAAAACAATGAGATAAGGGCTATATCATAGTGCAAAATGCACTGATGTGCTGACATGCTACAGCAGTTTCATGAAATCTGAACAATTTTCTCTTTTCCTCTGTGATCAGTTGAATTGGAGGGAAATGAGCCTGTATCTGGTTTTGACTCTTCTCCTTTGGGTCCCTTTTCTGCTAGAGAATTTTATGGCATGTGTCACTCCTTTTCCCTGCTATATGTTGCTTTCCTTTAACTGCTTTATTGCCTGTGTAAATGTATCAGGAGGGCTATTTTGGCTTTTCAGTGGATACTTACTGAAAACTGAAAGCTGAAAATATTAAAGGAGTGTATCATGGGAAGTTCAGTGCTCAGATCCATCACCTTTAGCTCTGTTAGCAGGAAATGTAGTGAACTGCAAGCACTAGGAGTGAAATGCCATTTGGAAGTCTTACAGAAGACCTGAAAACTGTGTAACACTGACAGAAGAAGCCAGAACATTCATTGATGCTCAAATATTAGTTCAGAATTTTCTGTGAAATCAGATTTATCAGATATCATCAGCCAAGGGAATCCTTCAGCAGTTATAATACATATTTTGGCTTTTTTGTTGGGGAATAAGATTTCCTCCTGATTAATTATGTCTACAACGACAGGCACAGAAGCCTCCTCTGTGAATCTGCCAAAGTGGCTGGACTAAACCAGGTCTAGTTTGCAGACTAGTATCCTTAATAAGCTGGGTTTATTAGCTCAGGCACAGTGCTGTATTTATATGACTATATGGCTTCGGACTGGAGCTGGCTATTATCCCGCCAGCTCAGAAAGTGGTCTGAGGAAGCTCACATCTGTCATGCCAAACACATGTTCTAGAAGAAGAGTGGAAAAATCCTGTTAGGACTGGTAATGTTTCAAAATACAGTATTATTAGTAACTTTTGTACGTTGAGTTTGGGGTTTTGATTTTTTTTTTTTTTTTTTGCTAGTGTACTAAGGAAATTATTAGTAACAGAGCTCAGTTCTTTAAGAGAGGAATTTGTCTTAGAAGAAGGGTGCAAAGACACCACTTCTGTTTTCCATGTTTACATGGTAGTGAATCACTTCAGCAGCTCCTGGGAAGCCTTCTGCACAATGTCTTTATTTTTATATTTTAAACTGTTGATGAAGTGGAATGTTGGATCAATCACACCACATGTTAACAACTGAATCACTCAACAATAAAAGCCATCCAGGGAACTTAAACAGCAGCCATTGTACTTTTTGATTTTCCCCTTGGCAGCATGTTAATAATGCCATTATAGGCTACCTACAGCAGAAAATAGTCATCATATCTTCTACATGGCATTGTCTGAAGGAAAAGGAGGTGTTCTGACATCCCACATGCGTGTGTGGTAAAGCAGAAGGGGGAGTACTTACAGATGCCATGGCTGCCGAGGGCAGGCTGTAATAGGTTCTCATTTGCTCTGGGGCAGAGATGAGGAAGTGTAAAGAAGCCTTTAGCCAACTCTCCTTAAACCTACCAGCTAAGGAACCAAACAGAGCTGAGGTGGAATCAATGGGCCAGCTATTACTGCACTAAAGCTTTGTGGGATGAAACCTGTGCAGCCTTAAAACCGAAGCTTGCATTGCTTTCTGTATGGAAACTACATGTGCTGAAGTCTAATGGTCAATTAGAAATCCTACAAAGGGAAGCTCATTTTCAGAGAGGAAGAATAAAAGCTTCTAATAAACAGCTCCTGTAAGATAATTCACATTGTGTATGGACAATTACTGACCGTCCTTGAATGTCTTGGTCTGCTTTTCTAGTCTCTTAATACGTTGTTTGCAAATCACTGGGGAGATCTGCACAGTTTTGTTTCCCCTCTTACAAAGATTCAATCTCTATTCTTAACACACTATGTAAGTGTAGAGTTTCCTGGGAATCTAACATTTTATTCTATGCTTAATATTGCTTGCATGTGTTTTTCCCACCTTCTAAATTTCCTATTAAATTTAATTTTTTTTTTTTTTTTTAGTTTTTCCTTTTGTTTGTTCCTTCTTAAGTATGCATGGAATTTATCATGCAGAGCAAGACAGAAATGTAAAGGTGGAAAAATATTCTCAAAAGATCTATGCTCACAAACTGAATAAGCCTGTCTTGAACATAGCTGACAAATATTTGTTTCCAACCTATTCCAAAACAATGTTTAATTAAAGATGTCTCAGAGAGTTTCTAGGTTGCTCTAGGTGATTTCTTATGCTTAAGGATAGAAGGTTGGGGTTTTTTCTCCCTTGATATCTAATATCCATTTAATATTCAGCATTTGATTCTCTGTAACACCAGGATAATTTGCCTCTGTACTATCATATTTTTTAACAATTTTGGGGTTTTTTATTAATATCTGTGTCCTGAGAATTGTGTGTGCATAAATCCCATAAAATGCACAAGTAAAACTTGAAAGAAGCTGATGCTGTTTTGAAGATCCCTTAGTGGTGAAAAGGAACCCCTTAAATTTATTATAACTTAGCAATAAGACTTCCATCCTCTTTGATACACTTATATATATTTAATCAATTTATTTCTGTTTTCTCTTTATGGATAATAGCAGTACTGTAATGAAACTGTAGGCTAATTCTCAAAACAAAACAGTGTTTTCTGTCTGTAAGAAAATTATTGCTTAAAAAATATTGACCTTCAGTCTCTCTCAAAGTTGAAGAAATCTTTCTAAGACAATCACCTTTCTGGAAGTAGCATGAGATGATTCTGGATGCTTGAGAGTCCCTTACCATCTATGAACTATTTTATCAGTCCTTGTTTTTGTCATCAGCACAGCTGTTAAAAAGAATAACAGACTTTTATTTGCCACTGAACTGTGTGTTATTCTCCATACTAAAAAGGAAGGATATAAAATGTTGAGAGTTTCAATATTGATCTGGAGGGGTTATAGTGCTTTTAGCTGAGCCTTCAGTGATCTTTTATGTTGAAAATGCATTGAACTGTCAGCTACATAAATTAATGAATAGATACTGGAATCATTAAGTACAAGAGCCCTCACTGTCAGTGATCCCTTAGTAAAACAGCATGGATACAATTGATTTTTAATTTTTGGTTGTTTGTTTATTTTTTTTGTTTTAGAAATGGTGCTTCTGGATAACAACACTGATTTAGTTTGCTGCAATATGAAATATAGAAAATATAATCTTGGCATCAGAAATTCTAATGGGGTGAATGACTCTCCTTACTCTTCTTCTTTCTGTAGGAATAGAACTGATAATAAAACTGTCCTTATAAATGTTTCAGAAATCTTTGGTAAAAGGCATTGTAATGAATAAACAGTTTTAATCCTTTAATATAAAGTGTAGATCAGCATACAGATAGAAATCTTGCAAAGCTTTATATACCATTAGCTGTGTTAAAATTCTCAAAAAGTTCAATACTGCTGTGGATTTGATAGCTTTTGATAAGGAATTTTGCTACTTTTATATTTATTATGTAATATAGTGGAATCATTTTACAAGTAATTTTTTCCTCTAGGTAATCGTCATGCTAAAATGTACTTTTTGATATTTGCAGTAGAAACTAAGCAAACAGATAAGTAGATTTCCTCGTGGGGCTCTGTGTAATACACATATTTTCTTCTTTTTAACTCTTTTCAGCAACCCAGTGTAAACACGGTGCAGTTTATGATACCTGTGGTCCGGGATGTGTCAAAACATGTGACAACTGGAATGAAATTGGACCATGCAACAAGCCCTGCATTGCAGGGTGTCATTGCCCTGCAAATTTAGTTCTTCACAGAGGAAGATGCATCAAACCAGTCCTGTGCCCGCAGCGGTGACATTCATTCTCTTTCCATGGACTCTAGTGTGGGTGGTCACTGACTCCCCTGATGCTCACAGCCAGTGACGGACTCCAGCTGTTTGTGTGCAGATTCTGCAAAGTACATGTCTACTCACAGAGTGTAAATATGCTCCTCTGTGTCTATTTGTGTGTCTCTAAGTACACACACGAGGCACCTAGAAAGATATATAAACGTATACTGTGTGTATTTGGACACACGTGTCCATACACAAGTGCCCTAAACGTAAGTACAACCCATATATTTATATATATGTCCACACACAAATATACATAATTTCTATATACCATAGAAGGATGAATTATAATATGTATATTTTTTGCTATAAAGTTTATGTATTATTATTTCTAGGACCCTGATCTGTAACTCATTGTATAAATAAACCATGTGTTTTTAATATAATATTGTGGCATGAAAAGATTGGATGACTTTGCCATTGCATAAGTTTGTTGTTACCAAGGAAACTTTTCTAGGGCCACTGCACTGCCAGGCTGGATTAGTTTCAACACAGAACCTGGATTTACAGTTGTACAGGAAACATATTTCTCTGGAGATGGAGGATTTATCTAGGAATATTTCATGTGTACCTTAGAGCTGCATAGTGATTGGTGACAGTGCTTAATCAGGCATAGAAAGCTGGGGATTGGCTTTTATGCTTTACTGAAATAACTGTGTAAAATGATTTCCAAAGCTGGTTGGACAATGGTCAGGATAGAGATATTTCTTTCTGGAATGGCACCAAAGAGTTGGGGCCAGATTTTCATAAGTGTTAGGCACCCAACAGTTCACTTTGAAAATCTGACCACTTCCCATTTCATATCCTAATGCCCCATCTCTGTTGTGTTTGGCAGTAGCTGTGAATACACAATGAGGAGCTTGAAGAAAATATTCACGTGCATATTAGCCCCTTAAACATGTTTGAAACGCCTAGGTTTGTTTCATGTCTCCCCCAAATATTATGCAGAAAGCAAATCCCACGCTGAAACATTTTATTTCAGTGTGCCTTAAAACACCAAATAATGCCAGGCTTAGTAACTCATTTAATTTATCAGCGTGGTTTAGAAGAAAGACAAATTCACCCCTCTGAAAACCAGTAGAGAATGTCAAATGCTAATTGGAGAACTGCATTTTATTTCCTTAGTGGTCTTTTGGTTGAGGTTTACGAACATGTGGGCTCTGTGAAGTTTGCATGACTTTTGAAGTCTCCCAGGGGAGAAGCAATAATATGGGATTTCATTAGAAACGGATAAAAAAGCCATGCAACTTTCTCAAGCCTGAAGGGACAGGGGGCTATTTTTCTCCACTGGAAAAGGCTCTTGTAGAGCCTGATGGAATGGTCTCTGGAGATGATAGAAATCTTTGTGCATCTGATTTAGGTTTATAATGAAGTAATATCTTCCCACGCAGCTACTTCCATCATGCCTTGCATTGAAATTGCACATTGTAATGCTTTGAATAACTTTCTCCTTTAATTCTTTTATTTTGAGGAAGTTAAGCAGGGCCTGAGTTTACAGTAAGTGAATGGGTAAACACATTTGGGTTATACAACCTTTCTGTGATCCCACCCTGCAGGAAGATGCTGAGTTAACCTGGTTAACTTAGGCACCACACTATCCAAAATGCTGTACCACTGCAGTGTTAAAAAGAGCTGGGCATATAATGCCAAAAGTGTTCCATGGATGTTCATCCAAATCTTAAATAAACTCAGCTTGATCTTTCTATGTCCCTTTTGTGTTAGTTTTCTTGGAACAATCAAATAATTCAGTTTTACTGGCAAGAGAGGGTTTTGAAGACTCATACACAAGTGGACTGGGAAGCAGAATTGAAAATGTGCAGATCCCATCATAGCAGGAAACTAGAAGAGTTTTATGTGGCTCATGTGCTAATTGAATGGCAAAGTTGAAATTTAGAACAATTGCAGTGGGCTGAAGGAGTTAAAATATAAAATAGCAGTCATTAAAATAATTTCAAGTGTCAGACCAAAGAGCTTTTCAGCCTGTGAGATTTCAGTGCTGAGATACGGGGTCTAAACCATTTAAAAGAATATTTGCCTACCTTTAGTTTAGGGCATATTTTAAATACTTACTGCTCAATGTTTCCAAAATAAAAATACAGGCAATGTGAATTGCATACATGAATGGTGTATACATCTGTCTTTCTCTCTTCTTCTGACTTACAAAGGTGAGTGAAAGGTGAAGGGAGAGCCCTCCAGCTCTCTCAGTCCACTGATCACATTCAAGCAATGCTTAATTGACTCTAGGTGAAGAGGTGACTCAGTCTTTCTGTAGGATGAACTCTGTTTTTAGGTCTTAAAATGATTCAGTTTGAAACCTATCCCAGGTCATCTCAAAATGAGGACTCATTCCTTGGTTTAAGTTTTTCATATTTGCCTAATTAAGACTAGACCAATGCTTTTTAGTTTATTGATGTAGACTGAGGAAGAGAGGAAAATGGTTTTACCTCTAAGCAAGCGGTTGTGCCCTTATGGTGTTGTAGAGCTTTTTCCTCCAAAATCCACAGTTTTCAAGGGAAAACTAAATGCTATAATCTGTCTGCTCAGTTCACATGTACCATCCAAGAAAAAGTTGTTCTGCTTTTCTGAAATTACCCCCAGATTTCCACTTGGCAGAAGTTTTACATCTGTATCTATGGTTACCCTGTGCCTAACTGAACTCTTGGGACCCTCTCAGGCCCAGGTGGGCCTGTTGCACTCCAATCTTCTCTTTTCCTCTCTCTTTCAAGGCCATTCAAAAGTTGAAAGTCTAGCCCCATACCATCAATACCATTATTATCACTGGCCTCACAAAGTTTGGATTGAAGCCCATCTTCCATTTCCTCATGGAATGTTGCCCCTATGATGATAGACCTGGAAGTTTCCTGCATATCACTGGGCATTTATTTTTTATGAAATTAATTGGTAATCTAATTTTATATGCTAAATGTATTTCATGTGGAAAAATTTTTTAAATAATAGCATAACATTGATAATTCATATGGCATATGGTGTATTCACCGTACAAAACTGATGGTTGTGTAAATTTTGATCTTGATAATGCTTATGTCAATCTGTGTATATAACTTTGTGCCAATTTGTAAGGTGAAATATATTTGAAGGAGCAGAGGTTCCAATCAAAGAATGATCCAAAAGGAGAAACACTTCTGTAGTCCAATGGAGAGAGTCAAGTAGAGTCCTGGATCAGCTGTTTCACAATTAATCTGCTGTGTGTTCTCTGGCAAGTCATTTAATATTCTAACTTCATTGGGGAAACAAGGCTCTGGATTTATTAATATTTTTAAAGTTTATGGATGGAAAATGCTCTATAATGACATACCAGGGTAATGGCAGCTGATATTTTACCAATCTACTCAGGGCTGCTTTGCATCAAGTTGTCCCATCTCTCCCAAATGATCAGCACTTGGAAATCAGCTTTTAGTTGGCATATATGGAGGTCAAATGTATTTACTTCCTTCTCATGAATTTGTGTCTTTAAGTTGTGTCTATTTTTGTATATTGAGTTTTATAAACCATGCAGACAAGCCATAGCCAAATAGAGAAATTTGAGTGTAGCCTAAGAGTCCTGCATGTTCCAAGAATACTTTTCTTCTATAGATTAAGGTTGCACTTGGACAAAAAAACCAACCAAACAAAAAACCCCAAACAAACAAACAAACAAAAATAGAAAAGAAAAAAAAGATCTTATTGTCTGACCCAAATGCAAACCCATCCACCCATCCTTGTATCACATAAGTAGTTTTCAGCAGATAACCTAAAAGAAGTAAGTCCTCATATTTTCTGCTATTTTTGAACACAGGATTCAAACACAGTTTGACACTGCCTGGCTTCTCACTGACAGAACCTGACAGTTGCAATGGCTGCACTGATCTTGAGCAGCAGTGCAGGGGTATGGCAGTTTGGGTTTTTTTGCCTTCATCAAAAGTGGGCAAGGTGATATCAGAGCTAACAGATATGATAATAGTAACAACATTTTCAGCTGGACAGACTGGAAAAAGGGTCAGTCAACAGCATTTAGCATTGAAGTGGTAAGGTGTTCTACTATTTCAGGAACAGTCCCAGCTAAAGGATATTATTATGCCATGATCTCCGTATCTGACAAACAGGAACTTTATGTTACGTAACACTGATCAAATGCTTGTCCTTCTGTCCTAGATTTTATCATTTTTAGAAAGCCCTGTGGCAAGAGAGGTGTTTCTGCTCCCTTACAGATCCATTTTTATTCCACCTCTGCAAATGTTTCAGGACAAAGGCCTTACTGTGTTAAAAAGTTGTTGCACAGATTGATATTTCTATGCAAAATAACTGTGACAAATCAGCATCAGAATTTCTAACTACAAAATAAGGTTCTCCTCCTGTGAACATAAGATAACTCTTCTTCCCTCACATGCCCATGGCAAAAAAACCACCCCACCAACCACTCAAAACCCCAATCCAATGTCAGCATAGTCATGTGTTGAGATCTGATTGGAATAGATACACTAGGTGTAGAATCCATAATTAAAATAAGATTATGAGTCTAGTCCTACTTTTCTCACAACTGGTACATCACCCTTGAAGAAGTCACTAAAGTCAAGGAAAGGGATTTTATTTCCAGGGTTGGAAATTTCCTAGGACATATTTCCTAGCACAGCGAACTCGCCTTGATTTCCTCCAGGATTTATATTTTAGTGAACACACATCTCCAATGCTGTCAGAACAAAAGCTACAAATGCACTTTTATAACTAGACTTGTTCCTGGCCTTGAGATAAAATTGCAAGAGAGATGATAAAATTGCAAGAGAGATGATAAAATGCTGAGAGAGCATAAGTTTTTTTTTGGGTTTTTTTTTTTTTTTTTTTTTTTTTTTTTTTTTTTTTTTTTTTTTTTTTTTTTTTTTTTTTTGGTTTTTTTTTTTTTTTTTTTTGCAGCAACATTACTCACCATCAAGGACCATTTTAGAAACTTCAAGTGATGTTAAATATGACATGTAGCATTTGCTATTTGCATGACTTTACCCTTTTCATGGTGAGTTGAGTTAAAGCCAGCCCTGCACACAGGAGGAAGTTGGCTCTAATGTGGTGCATATGTGTAGTGGGAGAGTGATGGCATGATATAATTATCATTATCATTGATAGTACTTTCTATTTCCCTCAGTGATGCTTATACCTGGGCATCAATATAGCTTGGTTTTGCGCATTAAAGTGAATTGATGGGAATGTAGGAAATTCCTGCTCAGGCAGACCCACCTTTTTTTTTCCTTATCCATTGGTAAAGAAATGCTTCAGAGCACACTTCAAAGAGCGTTTGTAAGCCTCATAATGGACAGCTCTGCAACAACCTGCTCATAGTGGCAATTTAGCCTTATATGCTGGCAGTAAGTGGTGGGTACTTTAATGACCCAATCGT